ACACTATATCCTTAATCTAAATGGACACGATAATAAAAAAGACCCGAAGAAGGATCAGGTGCAGATAGCTGGCCCGTCATTAGCCTGCGCCTAGGCCGAACGCTAAATTTTTAAATGTGTGGCATTTGTGATAGTAGACATGCGCCGCATCTACCGCACCCTAACTTCTCTCGCCCTTCTGGGCGCGGTGTCATGATAAAGTCAAGAAAATCGGAGGAAGAATCAAATACAGGTGGCTGGTATTGTGAATCTATGCATAGGCGTACCACCACACCCCCAATGTGTGGCATTTTTCTGGGTGTGCATCCCAATAATGCCTGCCATGTTCTGATCAGGTCTCAGGGCTCGTCCAGCCCGCCTACTTTTCTTTTGTTTCAAACAATTACTGGCTCTCGGGGGGCGAAGTAACAGAAACGATCGTTGAAACATGAATTATATTTACCACTTACTCGGACCCATCACCAAAGATGCACACAGATAAAATTAGTGTTTCATCGATCACCTATTTTCTTCCTTTTCTTCTTGTTCGCAAATACTTCCCTGGAGTCGTCTTTTCGATTCTATCGGTAACCTGCGCACCTTGAGTTTAGAAATTGTCTGTGCTAACTTGCTTTAACTTTGAGCCTGTCTGGAAAGCAAAATGATGCTTAAAGCTAAGGGTATTAAGATACAGTATCCATAGAAAGCAGATTGACCAGTATCCTCAGAAATATTTTTAAACAGTAAAAGATTATTCAGTTGGTGTTGTGTATAAAGTAGCCTGAGATTAATTTCAAATATGCTAAACACAGGTTGAATGCTGAATTTTGAATAAGCATCTTTCTAACACTTACCTAGGTAAGGGTCAGGAAAGACAACTTCTGCATTAGTTTGGATCTTTCTCTGATCTTCGGTACTCGTATAAATTCTTTTAAGCTTTCCAGAGAGGATAAAAACATACTTTTATTGTGGTTATTTTGTAAAAAGCTGCTTTTATCCCATTTTACATCCAAGGAAAGCGGTATTGTGATTTGTAACGGGTTTTAAACCCTGTATATTTTATTATAAAATCTCAATTTCCATTTATTCTGTCTTCTCCATAAGCGCTCATCTTGCTGCTCACAAAATATGGAAGACGTAGTGATCGACTGGCCTATCTTGCGGAGGCCATGCAATTGGAGTAAAAACGTGAATAACTCAGAAGTTCGGAAAACCACAAATGCGTCTAGAACGAAAATTTACTCTTCTTTGGATAGGGGGTTTTATGAATGTGTGAATATCACTTACAGTGATTTTCAGCACCACTCCGACTTTGCATTCCTTCTGAGAATTACCATGGAATATGATGAAATCTAAAAACTCGACAGAACAACTGTCAATTAAAGAGAAAGGACGGATCTTAGAAAGAAGATGAGAAGACGGAAACAGAAATACCTATTCTTTACTTAATCTGCATTCCCTTTTATGGTTTAACGGAGATTTTCTGATAATAACTATAATGCAAGAGTGAAGAGATATTGCAGGAATACATTTCCCCTTACTCAGTGTTGCAGTCGTACTAAAACAACCCTTTTTACGCTAAGAAATCTAGACGATTTAGTAAATGCTTCATTCCTACATTCTTGGAGGTGCCTTTTGCTTTCTTTAATTTCTTATAATTTCTTTAAGCGAGCATAAATGCGACTGAATTGAGAGAAACGTGGGTGGAGGTTTTAATGCACGTTCTGGTAACCATCTACAGAGGCTTTATTACCACAGTCGGATATCTATAGTTAAATGCTGTTGACTTGAAGACAGCAGGAAGTAGATAAATGCCATGCGAATATGTCTGACGCCGTAAAATAGGAAAAAGAAACAGAAATTTCGGTTGAATGGGATCCGGTGCACTTGAGCTTAATCACACACTAAGCTGTTATTCATGTTTACTTTAATCCTTTTTACTTGAGCCGTTCCGAACATGTGATTAAATCCTCAAACCGTTAGACCTTCCCTACATTCAGTTGAAACTGTTGAATTTGTTTGTCATTCCGACTGCCTGGAGTAGAATGGGTGCGTTTTAGTTAATATTATCGTGGGGATTTCATTTCATTTAATTCATCTTTCATTAAACGAACGGTTGACAGCAGTCTCAGGTTGTTGTCACATTATTTCAATTATCTTACATACAGGAACAATATTTAATCTGCAGTTGGATAAACATGCACATACAACTAAGGATGTTTCAAACTATCACAGTCACTCAAACACGTTTTCGGAAGAGCAAGATTATTTTGCTGTCTACCATTTGTGAAAAGACAAAATTTAAATGCCACGATATTGGGTGTCATTTTTCGCTCTCTATTGCCAATCTTTAACGTGGTTGGCGAATTACGAAAACATAGGGCAATTTCAAGTTTAACAGGCAAATGGCATCACTAGAAAACTTAAAATGAAAAAAAAAATTCAGTCGGAAGTAGAATATAAATTCGGCTGTTAGGTAATCGAAGTGGTACTGTGTTCCCGTAGTGACTTTTTCTGAAGTACTGCTGAGATAGCCGAGTCAGGCGTCAGTGTAAATTTTCCGACTCTCCCTTAAGGCTGAAGACTCGCTTTCATTTCCCTATTAAAGGCGCAAAAGTTAATAATACTAAGTATCGTCCGTTTCCGTAAAATACTCACTATCGAGTGGTGCCACTTCCTTCGCTGTGCATAGGCAGAGATGAAGTTGATAGTTCGTGGTCTCTATGTTGATGCCTCCCGAAGTGCATTTTGCAGTGTAATTTACTGTTAGTTTTCATTTCGTCTGCTCCGTCCGAGCTGATGGAATCCGAAAATCTTTTTTTGCACGGGACTTCTGTGGTCTCTTGTGGCTTCTGTGGGGCTCTTCGTGTGAATTTGCCATGAATTTGCTTTAGCGACTATATGCCCTACGGGTTAGGCGAAAAGGCTCCCACCCTTTCGACACCTTCTTCACCTAGTACGTCAATCTAGGATAATGCAGTCTGCGCAAGTGCTTTAAAGGGTCAGCGTACCCTGCAGCACAGTAGGTCGGCGAGTGACTGTCTGAATTTGCGTGTGCATGTGCGCGTATGACTGACTAGTCCGAGCCCTGATGCGTGTGATGCCCGAAAGCAACTATGCGTAGCAATGCCCACATGTTTAATTCACCCAAGTCCTGTGTGTGCGTGAACTGCCCCTTCCTCCTCGTCTTTAGCGTGGAACACATATCAGCCTATACAAGCAAACATGCGAGTCCCAGGAAGTAATTGAGAAGTAGAAGACAACTCGAGTTGTCTTCTACATTTCAGCCTGTCGAACAGCCGTATGTTCCACCATCAGCATCCTCCAGAACCACACCTTAATATTTTAGCGCTTGAGATCACCAAGCGAAACATATTTAAAAAGAATTCCTGGAAGAATTAATTCAAATTTGGTCTTTGTAGGGATTTTCATAAACTCGAATTAAGCCCCGAGTTGGTGTTTTTCCAACCATTTGCTCCTAATAGAAAATTTGGCAGTCTTCTTGTCATTCGAGCGCTTTCAGTAAGATAGACCGGCTAGGCGTTTGGATTATGCCTTACTGCTTTAAATGTTTTCTCGACTGGTCTAAACTTTCTTCCAGAAATTATTCTTCTTCTGTGTTGTTTTAGCCAGAGAACATAATGATCGAGGATATGGAGACAAAAAGGATCAAGATAATTGATTTCGGTCTGGCGAGGCAACTCACCACTAACGAGACTCTACAAGATATGGCTGGAACTCCCGAATTTTGTGGTCAGTTGAAGAATATGCTTAAAATTCTCCATGAATCCGCAATGCATGGGTTACTTGTTAGGTCCTTGCGTACCTCATGCTTCGAAGGATAGAGTAACAGTTCAGGGATAATGCTTGGTTTTGAGCATTTTTAAATCTGAAAGCTTAACTACTTAAAGCCATAAACACGAATTAACCTCTGACAGAATTTCTAGGAATAAGAGGGATGTTTAGTCGCAAGTGTGCAAGATGTAGAAGTAACTTAGAGTAGGAAAAACTACTTGAACTAAGTTTGACCAATGGGAAGGATCCGGCGCTTTAGTTCGGCAATTTGAGAAAGTCTCGATAGTTTGGATTTCTTAACGGAAATCGAATTGAAACAGTACTCGGTAATGAAAGGTAGGGTGAACTTAGCAAAACTAAGGAATAACTATGTATTCTTCTTCTGAAATCTCATTCCAAAAAGACGTGCAGCTGTTCTTAAAGTCAGGGTGTTTGAAATATTTCAGCTATTTCATTGATTAAATAGCTTATCATATAGTCGTGCTTGCCTCCGTATTTTTCTTAATCGAAAAGCGGAGTTATTTGAAACGTTTTCCATCACCTTATTTGCAATTACATGAATTATAAATTCTCGTGGTGTAAGCACGGAAATAAGTATCTTCGTTATAACAGGTGGGCTTTCAGAGTGGTACCCATCACCATGTTCTAATCATGATACTAACATTAAATTGTACCTAAACTCCAAATGTAGAGTTCATCAAAGCTCCAACCTTAACCCTAGCCCTAAACAGCTTTTGTATTTAACACAAGGCCACCTGTAATATATATATATAGACTTCAGTTTTCCGTATTTTGCTGTTGTCCGAACATAGAAAACCATCCCAAGAAATTTCTACAAGCCACTCCTAAGGATAAATGCTTTATACGCACTTGGTTTTGGAATAAGCCTGACTGGGGAAAATACATCGCACAGATTTTTTTCTAGCTTCCCAGTCTTCACTGGTAATGGTTGCCGATGCACACCCTTTTTGGTTTAAGCGTTTTTTCTTCCAATCCACCGAGGTGTGGCCTTCTGAACCAAATATAAACATTTTTAAGTTAAGTAACACTTCTGGTATTGGATTGCACGTTTTTACGGCTGGGCTTAAAGTGACAAACCGCGTGGTTAAGTATGTAACCGTACCCAATATAGAATTTCAACTTCCAGGCAAAAGAGACAAAAAATACTGCGTAAACTGATTCGCGAGGGTTCCAGGCAGCAAGGTGTTACGGGATTTGCACCGACGCATAAAACCTTGAACAGCTGTGATGGAAGATATAATGAGGTATGCATTTACAAAAGTTACCGTGGTTACGCACGAGGACGCGACAGAATTAATCTAAGGCTGCCCAGTGATTTCTGCAAATTGCGCATCCAAAGTTGTTAAGCCATCCAATACCCGTGATCTATAGATTTTAAAAGTTATTCAGAGGATGTGCTAGTGCCAAACACGGCCTAACGTATTTTAACTCAAATACGAAACCGGACAAGGGTGATTTGACCGTTGGACTTGCAGTCTTTTACCTAAATTTACCTTTCAGAATAGCATCTCATAAGAATTTAAAGGCGACGGAATGTGAAGTCGGGTCCATTCTATGATGGTGGGACCTTTCTGTAGCTACTGTTTTACATGCGGATTGAAGTTTTACAGCATCAGGTATCGTCACCATACGGCTTACAACGCCTTCTAACTCTGAACGTTTCCTAAACACCGTATTGAATGATTTATATGTCTACCGCAGTTCACCGCTTGGTGGGTTTAGCTGCGCGACCCTAGAAAGGACCAAATTTGTCGAGGGGGTCAGCTCGTCGACCAATTCAGTCTCCCTTGTATTCGTTGAAAGGTTTTAAGATAGAGGAGACAGACATTATTTGGCATTCACGCTGCTAGGATTTAGTACGCGGACACATGATGAATTGCTTCCCCCAATGTGAAGTGGTCCGAAAGGTCATCACAGAGGCAGTACTTAAGAATCACGTAGAGTGAAAAGTACATTTCCTTTATTTACTATAAACGCAGACAAAAAAATAAAACACGATGATTGTACTTGTAGGAGGTTTGAATTAATGTACAGGAAAGACTGGAAGTTAAGACAGGAAATTTCTTCTATTATGTACTTGGGAACCCTACGATGATAGAAGGCTGGATATACTTGCTTCATTGTCGAATACCTGCGACTTGTGGCATTTACATCGACTACGGATTGCAGTATATTAGCGATAGAACTGTCAGCTTTGCTGTCATTTCTAATTTTACATTAACAGCCTTTGTCTGCATCTACGTGACTACCACTATAGTGTCGCTCACTATACCCCACAGCCGTTTTTACTATCAGTTTTGCATAAATGCATGCATTGGTGGTGGGGGTGACGTGACCGTCCTATAGGCAGCATGGTCCTGCGATGGTGTTTTGGGCACTCCTGTGACTCAGCAGGCAAGATAAACGGGTGCTTGCTAAATACCATGACTCTTTCCCATTCTTACTCCTCCCACGTTTCTGATTGGTCCTTAAACAGTGCCATATGGCTACTTCGACACGTATGCCGTGGACCGCGTGCGTTGGCTATGTATGCGTGCGTTTATCAAACCCTAGAACTTTTTTCGGACTTCCTGCCGTGACGTGCAGTAGCTCCGTCATACTTGGGGCTAATCTATTCGTCAATAAAATTTAAGTCTGCTTCTTTCACGAGAAACCTTCAATTTATAGTTGAGAAAAGGAGGGATAGTCTGTCGGACAACTCGTCGACCTTGCATTATTGGAAGACGGAAAAAAACATCTTATTTCACATTTGATCGCTGGCTTATGGTCTTATGTAATTACAGAATTCGTGATATGAATCGAATAACAGACAAAGGCATGTGAGGCACAACTGTCACCTCTGCTTCAAAGTAGTTGGATTATCTTATAAAATACTAATCGAAATTATGAAACATGCTTTTGTTAGGAAGATCTACTTAGCTGCAGTTGTCATACTGCTTATCGTGCAGCACAGTCCTAAGATAGGGTAATCAGGACAAGATTCCGGCCCTTCAATATATTTTTTCCGACCATCTGCAAAAACCACACTTGTTAAATAATGGCTACTCACGTAGTTGGCATGTTTTGCAATGATTTTTGATGCCCTTCTGAATCCAAATAGATTTTATAGAAAGAATAAATAAGAATATTATACTGGATTGATAGCCAATTACGTTTTTTACATTTTATACCCGAGCAAGTGTCATTTCTCGATGTAGAAGAAGTCTGCAATTGCTAGATTTATAAGTCCATAGAAAGTTCATTCAAACATTATCGTATATTTTAAAGTATACGACATAGTCCGTATACGTTGCAAAATATGAAGAGTTTTAGTTTACATCTTGATACCGTACAGAACTATATGGAGAGTATTCTGTGTGGTTTGAAGACCCCAAACTCGGATGGAACTGCTGGACGGGGTTCAAAATTGTTCGGGAATTGGAAATATTTCTACCTAAAAGCAAAATATGCCTTCCTTTCACGTACACAATCTTACGAAGACCTACACTGTTGCCGAATCAGTAAAATAAACAACATTTTGTGCAGGTTTTTATAAAACATATTTGGATTTCTATAGCATTGCAAATGTTTGAAAAAATCGTAAAATTTAAACAGTGCAATTTCGCAGTGTGTTTTTTGCGTGCAGCTAAAAAGCAGCTTATTCGAATGCAGGTATTCTGGCGCGAATTAAATAAGTTGAAAAATTCACACCAGACTTTTCTGCCTTCAAAACGGTGCAAGCTTACTGTGCATATGATTTCATGATTGTAGTCAAAAAAAACAAAGAGAAGTAAAAATCAACATATAATATGTTAAATAGGCCAAGCCATGTGCATACCAGAAAATTTCCATGTGAATAGAGAGTATAAAACTTGGCGGCTCAATTTCAAAAGCCCATCGACGGGCTCAAGGCCAATACATCGAGATACTACTAACCGTAAAAGGTTAAATAGCTGTAACAAGACGTGGCGTTATTCTAAAATGAGATATTTTCCGCCAAATGTTAGCAATAACCTTTCTTGTGATCGAAGGTGCCGCCTTTAGTGCATGTTGCTGTTCGCCTTATCTCCTGTGGGCTGGTATTTGGATCTTCGAGTTAGCAGTGGTTTTTTGGATTAGTCAGGTACCACAACAAAGTTCCGACCTTACTTTATAGTCGAAGTAAAAAAGAAGCGAAGAATCCCGTTTTTATTGATGAACATAGACGCCTAACAAAGCGGGAGTTCGAGATCTTTACGACATGCGCCACCCTCAGTGACAAATAAAGCTACACGTGCCCTCTTTTAATGGTCTGAATCAAAACGACGGTTATAGCGGCGCCGGAATATGGTACTTTTTACTCTTTATAAAAGGCATATGGCAATCGATCAAGGCAAGTTATATGAGTTTTTCAGCCAGCGTTAGAATGTAGTCAATTGTTGTGCAACCAGCGTGCTTTCCCCACGCGGTAAATGTTTCGGTTATTTTAGCAATCCTCCTACGTGACAGCGTTTTCTTCTTAGTTCTTTCAAGATCTTGCCTTCTTGTCTGTCACAGTTACACGTGGAATGGAGTTGGAGTGAATTAGTCCGCTAAGCACTTGACAAAACCTCTGATTTTTCGATGGCTTTAAAAGGACATTCGCAGCCATAAAGCTCAACGTTAACGAATGGCTATGTTATTGGAATTCTAACACTATTCGCCCCTCCCCTATTGCTAGTCGTTTATTGTTATGTGAAACTGAAAAAAAACCATAAAATCTGGCAGATATCTTCTTCTGAATTCTAACACAGTGAAGTCTTTGCAGAAATGCATTATTTCTTCGAATGTGGAACCTCTAGTCACACTGTCCTTCATATTGTCTGGTAGAGCTTAGCGTTAACGATTTTCCTCTTTACGAAGACTTTATATTGTCCCATGTGAATAGTTTTCCATAGAATATGTAATAACGCTCAGTCAGATGCCAGAACCCCCAAGTATGTGGGGCATTTGTCAAAACATCTTTCACTCGTAAGACATTC